AAATCCCAGAGGTTTCAAGCCTCGCCCAGGGTTTGGGGCAGGGTGCCAAAAGGGTAGGACATAGGAGATCTCAAGAGAGGATGTCTTAATGAGGTTTAATGCCCACATAAATCCTTCTTCTACTCGACATGTGTTTTTGCTGCTGATGTCCCACCCATGTCAGGACGTTACCTTGGAAGTTATTAAGGACAGTTGACTATGATTTAAGACTGTGTTCCCTTCTAGAGATGAAGAAATACTGCCCTTTCCCTGGGCAGCTGCCACATGATTTTGTTTTCGGGGGGGAAAAAAAAAAAAAAAACAGAGAGGGCTTGTGTGTCTAAAAATCATTCTTTTCCTCCTCTGCAACAATATTGTATGGTCTACTAAAAGATATTACTTCTTCCTGCAGATCTTGTCTCTCTCAAATCCAAACCATGCTCCAGAGTGGTGAGGACACAGAAACAGAAATAGAAACATATTTTCAGAGTCCTTTGTGTCCTTTTTTTGACAAGGTGTCCTTTGTGTGATGAACTGTGATCAGGAGGACACTCAAGACAGACTTCTGGAAAAGGATGGAGCTAAATCCCAGAGGTTTCAAGCCTCGCCCAGGGTTTGGGGCAGGGTGCCAAAAGGGTAGGACATAGGAGATCTCAAGAGAGGATGTCTTAATGAGGTTTAATGCCCACATAAATCCTTCTTCTACTCGACATGTGTTTTTGCTGCTGATGTCCCACCCATGTCAGGACGTTACCTTGGAAGTTATTAAGGACAGTTGACTATGATTTAAGACTGTGTTCCCTTCTAGAGATGAAGAAATACTGCCCTTTCCCTGGGCAGCTGCCACATGATTTTGTTTTCGAATTGAATTATGTATTTTGGGAGACAGAAGGAGAATGATCTGATTTTTACTGGAGCACAGGTTAGCTCAGAGCCACAGAAAGGCTCTGGAAGCAACCAAACCTTTGTCTTCTGGATGAAAAAACTGAGGGTCCTAAGCCCACCCCTGGTGATGCCCCCAAGTCTGGAGACACAACCCCAGGTGCTGTGACAGCCTCCAGCTCCCCAGGGAGCATTGGGCAGGCATCGTGTGCCTGACTTGCTGCAGTTTCCATGCCAGACTCAGCTTGGCTGAGGCACAATATCCCTGACCTGCAGCGTCCCACCACCTGCTGTCACAGTCCTGAGTCATACCTAAAAAAAAAAATAGCCTGCTCACATATTTGTATCTTTTTTTTAAGAAAACAAGAAGGCAAATGCAATCCGCCCAAATCTTTTCACTCCAATATGGATGTCTTCCATCCTGCCTTCCCACAGGAACCCACACCAAAGATTGCACAGCACATTACACCACACATCACAGAAATGCTTCTTCAGCATCCCCGCCCTCACCCTTCACACAGAAGCTGGGCTACTCCTCCCCATCTCCCCAGTCCCTCCACTCTCCTCCGCTTTCTAATCAGATGCTGTTTCACTTCTCCTCACCACCTCCACCTCCACCACCATCTCTCCATCCTGCCATGTTGAAAGAAGGTTTAAAGGCAACAGCTGATGGGATCCCTCTGTGATGCACAAGGAAGAGGATGCATCTGTCTTCAGGCAGAACATGAAGAGTCTTTTGGAGAGGGGAAACAACCCTCTCTGCTGCTTTTGTTACACAAATGTTTGTTTTCTGTATCTAAATGTGTAACAGGAAATTAACCAGTTCACCTTTGTCAAAGCACTTCTGTATCCCACAAATGCAGGAGCCAGATGGTGTTCTTTCTTTGTTTTAAAAGATTAGAAATGGGAAAGAAAGGAAATGGCTAGGAGCTAATCCTCAGCCTGGAACACACTCATATCCACATGCCCAGTTATCTGTGCTCGTGGGACCTGGGCAGGAGCAAACACGGGGACTCAGGGCGTTGAAGTCAGTCTGCTTACAGAGAGCTCCAGACCTGTTTTTTGTGTCAAGCTTTGAGGTGGGACCGCTCACTGTTCCCAGAAAATGACACATCGCAGTATTCTCCCCAGGCTGCAGCTTGGACACACCAAGCAGTATTTTCTACAAACCACCTGAAGCAGACCTTTGCTCCAGGTCCTACTGGTGGGGATGGCAGGCTGTCAACAGGGGGAAGCTGCTGTGCACAAACACTGAGAATCAGGGTTGGGAATTTCACCAGGCAGGTTTTAGATGTGACCACGGACAGCACCAAAGAGTTTAAAAGTTCAACTCTTCAGCCACATCTCCACCTTCCATAAGTGAGACCCACGAGCAGTTTGGTTCTCACACTTGAGCTCATTCACGCTGTGTCTCCACCCATTCAAAAGCCCTCATGTGGGCACCTTAGTGAATTTTATGATAGGTCCATGCACTCAAAAGGATTGTCTCAGGAGCCTTGAAGAGCCAGTTTTTGTGCAAGAGATGCTAGGAATTAAATCTGCGAGGAAGACAGAGAACAATCACACAACTGTTGTGAAGCCAGATTGTTTTTCTCACATTTTCAGGACAACGTGAATGCTTCTTCCTACCAGAGTTATAGTCAAGTCTAATGCAGACAATTCACATGAGCCCCATGTGGCTTCATTAGTGTCAGCAGCAGGTTTCTGTTCAAAGGGTTGACTGTTCTTGTTTGTAGGGAACTTTGAAGTACAAGTTGCCACATAGAAACCAAATAGATTTCCCAGCCCAGAGAAAGCAAGGCTCACACCAGTTCTTGCAGAGAATGAATAGAGCAGTACTGTGCAGAGGGAGAGGAAAGGACAGGTATGAGATTGTGGTGGAGAGGGAAGGACAGAGACTGTCTCATAACCATGAGTGCACCAGACGGGTGAATAAAGGGTAAACATGTCCCAGAAGGTAGTGATTAGAGAAGGTGACTGAGAAATGAACCTAGCTGGGTTTTTCTCTTATGCTGGGAGGAGTGTGGTTGGGCTGTGGCTGGAGGAGGGATGAAGGACACCTGGCCCCTGGACTTCTCCTCTTTGCTATGGGGAATATGTGGCCTGGATGGGCTTCTCAGCTCTGCCACTGAATCCTGCTTTGGACTGGTGCAAGTCACATAAACCCTCTGCCCCACACACCACCAGTGTAAGTCTCAGCAATCAAAACCTTACTTTGCTAGGACTCTTACTTAGACTGTAACAGAGAAAAGGCCTCCATGCATGTAGAGCATGGACTTACTGATCAAGAGTTTTAAAAGTACCTTAAGTCAGTGAAAACAGAAAGAAAAATCAACTAAGAACAAAAGGCTGTGCTGGTCTGAAGCTCAGCTCTTGTTCTGGTAGTTACTATGTTGGTCACGCATGGCAATTTGTGTTAGCAGAGGAAAGTCTACCAAAAAGCCTTACAACACTGCATGAGATAGCATGGAGCAATCCTCAGCAAAGCATTTTGCACAGACAGGATGAGATCTACAGGACACCACCACGGAGAAGACAAAAAATCCCACAACAAGGAGCTGGCCTGTGGAGAACATCTCAATTCTCAGTTTTTGAGGACTGTCCCAGCCTTCACATGTCACCAGCAGAAAACTCCCCCACTCCACAGAGAGCTCCTGGTGCTGTAGGAACACAAGCTTGGCTGGGACTGTCTCAAGTGGTGTGGTGTTGACTGTGGTCAGAACAGGTCTAACATGGCAGAAGGAAAGGAGGCAGGGAAGAACATGGGCAATCACATGGGCTGCTTCTCATCCTCTCCTGGGCTCTTCTCTTTCGTACTCTCCCTTTCCTGAAGCTCCAGCAGTGATGGGACCATAGCCACCTGTCTTCCCTCCCCACTGCCCAGTAACTGCACCGAGACCTTTATCCAACATGGGCTTTTGTGCTGCACAGTGAAGATTGGTTCCATCACTGGTAATTAAACTCAGTGATAAGCCAGGGTCCTGGGCTGGGAGAGGTGATATGTCTTAGCAGAAATCTGATCGCATTTTTCCTCCTCCCCAATACAGCTACTTCACTTGGCAACTGCTTAGCAGAGAAAACAAAAACCAAAAACCAAAAAAAAAACCCCAACCTTCTGATCAGATCAAGATACTTTCTTGGGTAGCTGATAAAAATCATCCTCAGAGCCAAACATCCGTGTCGTAACCAGAAATAAACCAGCCTTGGTCCAATCATCAGGCTAGAAACTGCTGCTCCTTGGTCTGAAAAGCCCTTCCCTGCTGGTGGATGGCCCAGTGACAAATACCTACTCCAGTGTGCTTCAGACACTGCACATCACAGCTTCTCCTGTAGCTGAGGAAGGGTGAGAACACGCTGTCCCCGAGGGAGGCTGCCAACCCAGGCAGACAGGGCAGTGTAGACAGGTACAAAGGGAGTGTGCAAGACAAGGGGACAGTGGGAGCACAAATCACAGCAGCAAAGGCTGGAAAGGCATTACTGACTCATTGAGTCTGTCCCCAGAGACAAGTGCAGGATTGGCCTCTGCACTAAACCCATTTTTATCTAGCTGCTGTCTGAACTTCTTTAACGACAGGTCCTCAGCAACCTACCCCTCCAAATTATTCCATTGTCTAAATGATGACCCTGCTAGAAGAAAGTGTTTTTGAGGTCAAACCTAAATTGCCTATTATTTCCTCTTCCATATTTTATGTACTTATCAGCCAGTCTTTCAGTTGCTTTTTCTCTAGGTCCCTGTATTAAATTTCTTTAATCTAACACCAGAGGTCACACCCTGTAGTTTTTGTCATTTCTTTGAATTACTTTTAACTTATCAATGTCTTCAAAAAAACAGGGAGAAAAAATAGGAAAGAAGGAAGAATGGGATGACTTCAGAGCCACCCCAAAGCATGTGACTGTGTGCTGGGGTATCGCAGAGAGCTGTGTGTAGGCATCTGCACGGATGTCTGAACCACAACCATGACCAGGACAGAAGAGGAGTAAGGACAGCACTTCATGGATTTCTGATCAACATCTGTGTGCACGTTTCAATGATGGAATAACCAAGTGAGCGAGCCCAAGAGCTCCAAAAACAGATTTACAGTAACATTTCCTAGTCTCCCTTTGCCCTGAGCATCAGACTGCTGCTGGAGCTGCCTTACCCTGTAGTAATCAGTGCTGTAGACGTCTCTTGACATCCCAAAGTCTCCAATCTTCACCAGCAGGTTGGCTCCGACCAAGCAGTTCCTGGTGGCCAAGTCTCTATGGACAAAGTGCTGGGAGGCAAGGTACACCATTCCAGAGGCGATCTGGCTAGCGATGTGGAGCATCTGAGATAGCCCTAGCTCCCCTTTGGCTTGTCGAGGCTGCCCATCCACGAGGATCATAGCATCTGGGCCATGTGCCCTATAGGGAGGAAGAAGCACAAAGCATAGAGTTGGGTCTCAGCAGTGACCAGGAGATAGGAACCCCACACGGTTGCTGCTCCTGCTGGAGCGGGGACTAACCCCAGCTCTGCATTCTGAGGATGCACACACAGCTCCCGTGGAGGGAAAAATGAAAAGCTTAAGAGAACGGGTGTTGGGGGAACATTTGGTGGGTGGGTGGGTGCCATACATCCTTGTCCTATCCTTACTCTGCTGCAAGCAACCTCTTATGGACACGGATGGAGAGAGACTGCCAGGACAGAGGGACCTCTGGCTTGATGTGACATGGACATTCTTCTCTGGCAAAACTAATGAGCCTTCAGATACTTATGTGTTTGCTCCAGTTAATTCCCACACCTTGGAAAGTTTCCTAGAAGTAGAGAGAAGGTCCTCTTTTCTTCCACAGCCATCATATCCTTGCTATCTAGTCTCTTTATTAATCCCCAAAGACTCCTTTATTGCCTCCAAACACCGTATCACCAAACGTCCACGTCCTGATGGATACAAATACAGCCAGAGATCACAGAAGGTTTCAGAGGAACACGAGCAGCTTCATCCCTGGAAGATGCATTTCCTACACCAAGCTATTCCAGAGGTAACACAGGTACAGTGAACCGTAAAGGCACAAGCATGAGTGCAAAGGTTAGACCTGGATGTCAGCAGATACAGAAAACATCCCAGGCATCAAAAGGAAATATTTTGCTGAAATAAATGCATTGTAAATGCAGGACTTTAGGTCAGTCTCATTCCTGTCCTGTCCTCTTTTTAGTCCCTGTCCTCACTGTGTATCGAGGCTGTCTCTGCTGTGATGTTTTTTCCCCTGGTTGAGCTCACCTGGTGGCACCCTGTGTGAAGCTGGAATAACAAAAGCCCTCATATTTAGGGAAAAGCAAGAGATTTTGGTGTGACCTTCCCTCTTGTGACTAAGATACAGAACATCTCCTCTGAGGCTTTCATACCATTCTCTTTGAAATGATTCTTGGCATTTCACCCCTGTCATCAGTAGTAACCCCACAGAGAGACAGCAAATTGAAACTGCACACACAGAGATTTCCCTCCTTCTTCACATGGGACTGAACAACCTACAGCATCATCTGAACTGTTCCCTTCCTTTGCCTCTGTTCCCTAGATGCTCTGTTGGCCTTGAGGGTGTATCAGAGGGACTAGCATCCAGGCATTGGGAGTTCAACTGATAGTTTGCCAAATGACCCCCTCTTTGCCTACCTCCTGCTGCCCTACCACTGAGAACGTGGCTCTGAATGTCCCCTCTGGGTAGAAAGGACAGCTGGAAGAGGAGAGGAACTCCAGGAACAAGTGCTGAGAAAACAGGAGTGTTTTTTGGGAGCCAGGAGTGGGTGATGCTGCAGTGAACGTGGGATGAGCTGGCTGGGAGCAGCACTGCAGGCAGCAGGACTGGAGCTGCCGCAGGCATCTCAGAGGCTCACGGATTTGGTGGAAGAACTGCTGAGGGCAAGGAGGAGCTGCAGAAGAGTGCATGCAGAAATGACTGCTTGATGTCTTATTTAAACAGCCCACAGATGGGTTTACCCCAGGAAATTACCTGGTGGTGACAACAGATGTCGACAGCAGGCGAAGCTGAGCCAGGACTGAGCAGGTTAGCTAAAACCAGCAAAGCAGGACAAACAATAGCTTCTAAAACTGTGCTGGACAGTTTCTATCAGTCATGCCTTGCAGTTACACCATATTTAGCTGCAGCTGATACCTGTTGTCATCAACATTCCTCAGTGAGAAGTGAAGCATATATTACTATCACATTACTGCCACCTTTTTCAGATACAATATAGCCCCTAAAGAACTGCCTGTGTCTGAGGGGAATAAGTAATGTGTAAAAAGTGGTCAGCCACCACCTTTATTTCACTGGCTCTTTGTACATCCTGCTATATAGGACATATCTCAGTATGTCCTATATAGTACGTACACTTCCTTCCCTCCCTTTCTTCATTCCATATGGCTATAGTCTAGAAGAAAGTATCAAAACATTTATGAGATTAACAGGAAGGATATTAGTACAGTAACTAATTAGTAACAGGAAGGATTTAGTTGTGTCAAGACGCCTAGAGAGAATAGGAGAAGGGTCTGCCCACTTTTCCTTGGGGAAAGTAGTTTAATTTGGTTTTACAGAGAGTCCATAAAATTGGGTGGATCCCCTGTTAAAGAACTCTTAGGGTTATTTTCCATTATGGAGTGATGGAAGCTTTCCTTGAGGTGGGGAAGACAATCACCCCTCTGGCTTCCTCTGCTGAAATTCTTCTTTCTGTCCCAAGACAGCCTGACTGTGGGGTTGCTTCACCAGGGGGGCTGACAAAAAGCCACAGAACTTTGCAACCTTTCTAACAACATCTATTGCCTGTCTGAGTGAACAGCAAATGCAACAACTTATTATTAACTGTAAAAAGGGTCTTTAATGGCACCGTGCAAATATCCCTACTTCAAATTTGCTCCTGTCCCAGACAGAAAACAAAAGCTAGAAAACCTGTGACAGGAGGAAAGGGAGGAAGCAGTGGAGATATTTGGTGAGCAGAGAGGGAAGGTGGTTGCTGCAGCCCCTCGAGCAGTGGGGCTGTGTGCCAGGGAGCACCCAGTCTGGGGGCAGCCTCCAGCCCCAGGGATGCCATGCTCTCTGGAGAGCCATGCCTGCCTTTATCCACTGCAGGAGCCTTTCACTGTCCCTTTTCTATCAGCCAGGACACTGTGGTCAGGATCTCCCCTGGTGCAGACAGCAAGGTGAGTTATTGCACCACCAGCATCGACCTCACCCACAGGAGCCCTGGGAGGCACGTAGAGCCATCCCAGCAAATGCCACCTACAACCCAGCTGCTGTGTTGATCCTAGTCCTTCCCCTTGCCACACCGATTTTACAGACCAGTAAAATCCTCTCTCTTCTCTGGGAAGCACACAAAGATCTAACAGCACTTCAGGGAATTTATTGTGCTTTTCTCTAGGAAACTGGGTCTAAAGTGAGCCTCTTCCATTTTACTGCTTTTCCAATTTCTGCAGTTAAACTGGGAAAAGTCTCTCTGAGTGTCTCTTACAGACTCCCAGCATCCCTGGCCTCCGGTGCCTGCGAGCATTTCTTTCTTGCTGTGGGCTGGGTGAATCATGCCATAGTAAAAACTGCTGCTTGCTGAGGGATGCCAGGCACTCCTGCACCACCAGCCCTTTCTGATCCCCTTGCAGCCCTGTCCCCTAGAGTTTCCCACCACCAGATAGCTGACCTGACAAACAAAGCCAAAACTCTCTTTCCATATGCCCCCTTAGGCATGTCAAGTTCCCATTGGCTGGGTATAAGCTCCTTTGTCTCTAAAACCAGCTTGTTTTGGGACACAAAGGGATTTCACTGCCCTGCACACTCCAGTCCTCAGAGAAGGGAGCTCCTAGCTTCTTGGTCCATAGCTGTTGTCCATCCGTGAGAAAGACAAGCTGACAGTTAAATGCAGCTGAAAAATGAGAAGCTACAGTCCCAGGGACCACAAATCTGGAAAGTCTCTTTTCCTTCATAAAGGTCAAAGATAATACAACAACCAGCTTTCTTCTCCAGCACCCCTGGTCCAGGCTGTGGCCTCCCAGAGCACACATGTTGCTAGACACGTCCCAAGGCAGGGATAGGACATGGGGGTGAGGGAGTCTGTGGCTCCAGCACGCTATCAGCCTCAGGAGTACATTGCTGTGTGAAGCAATTCCATAAGGTATTGGCAGTGGGCACGAGACATCCCTCTGAGACAGTGAGAGAGCCTGGTCTGGGCTGTGCTGTTTGGGAAGTCAGCTGGAGCAGTGAAGGAGGCTATGCCTCAGCTGCCATCTCCACCTCATCTAAGGGGAATAAGGTTGCTGTTCTGCTAGGAAAAGAGATGGGTCAATCTTCTGCTCTTGCTTGTGAAACACATCAAGAACACGGTCTCTCATGGTTTCTTTTTTAGACTGCATCCCTCCAGTCATGAGACTGAGGCCCTGTCCTTAACCCTGCACTTCCAGTCTGTGCTAGGACCCCACTGCAGCCCAGTGCAGAGTTTGGTGCCCGTAGGCAGAGTCCAATCCACAACTGAGGGGAGGTTGCTGAGTCCCTGCAAGACAGGGCACCACAAGAGAGAGTCCTAGGGTAACCAAGGCTGCTCCCCATTGAATAGGGGTCTGAGGAGCTCTGCGAAGCTGATGCTACATTCATCCTACCTTCCAAAGATGTGGTCTCTCCAGAGCCTAAGACAGGAACTGAGCTATAAAATCACACCAGATCTACCCACAACTATGCCAAAATGAGGAGGGAAAACAATGCAGAGATGTTCCCAGCTCAGCCACTGCCCTGCAAATGCCCCAAGGGAGCTGCAGACTGGCTAGCACTGCTTGGCAGAGGAAAGAAGAAACCTCTGAGATCCTTCCCCACAGCATTTTGGTTGTAAGTGATTGCTTAGAAATGAAAATCTCTGGGAATGACCCGTGATTCCTGGTCAGAAACTGACTGTGATGGTGGAAAGATAATCACTGAGCGTATCCTAATCCCAGATCTAGACCTGCTGTGCTCAAGCTTCTTGCTCCTGCTGCAATCATGCTCACACTTAGCAGTCAAAACAGGAAAATATCAAGGGTCCAATTTTCTAAGTACTGGGAAATAAAACTACTAATTATTTCAAGAGGTAAGTAGCACTCCACTTGCACGCAGGTTTCAGAGCGTAATTTCTGTACCATGGGAGAACAGCACCACAAAGATCCTCCCACAGTTCCTCCCTGCCCCTCACAGTGGGCAGATTCAGGGCACACAGATGCTGAAATGGTTGAATGATGACTGGCAGAGGGGGCATCTCCAGCAATTTACATCTCTCCAGAGGCAGAGGAGGTGATTACTGCACTTCCTCAGGCCTCACCGAGCTCCTGCAGTAGTGTGGTGCCACAGGTTAGGGTATTTTCTCTCTCAGTCAGGATCTCTGTCTAATGAGGTTTAAAGAACAAGGACCAGGGCTGGACTCCACAGGCACCACCTGAGGCCCCTCCAACCTTTATCAAGTCTTTTTTCAAATAGAGGAACAAGAATTAGAGATCAGTAAATGCCCAAGATACCAGTCAGATCTAGGACTCCAGCAAATTTCTCAAAGGAGTATTTTGGTTCTTGTGCTGTTGAACAGGATCTGGGTGACAAGGAGAGTGATGCCCTGCTTCAGCAGGGCACGTCTTTGTTGGGAGTATGGGACTCAGAGCTGCTGATAGCCATGGCTTCAAGTCCTTCTGTCCATGAAGGGCACAGAGGGATTGCAGACATGTCTCCTGCAGCTTCAAACTTGCTGGGTGGTAGAAGAAAAGTCTGGTTTCCATAGCTCACAAGGACCATCCCTGGGACTACCTAAGAGAAGAGGTTGGGGTAGAGCTAATAAAGCTCCAAATCTGGTGAGGTCCATCACTTCCTACAAGCTGTCCTTGGAACAACTGGCTCTCATTACTCAGCCCACCAGCATCCCCACGGGAAGATGTCATTGGTGCACCACAGGTCTACAGCATCTCCCACACCCTCCTTTGCACACACCTCAGGAACTTGTTCAGGTCACCGTGCTTCATGTACTCGAAGACCATGATGAGTGGGTCTCCATCGCCACACACACCATAAAACTTGACAATGTGCTCGTGCTGCAAGTTGGTGAGCAGCTCTGCTTCTCTCTGGAAATCCTTCCGGGCTGCCAAGGTGGGGTCCTTCAGCGCCTGAAAGAAGGGGCACAGATACACACAGGGTGGGCTCAGGTCAGGGCAAAGCCAGAACAGACAGCTCGCAGCATCACGAAGGGGCTGATGAGGAAGGGAAGGGAGAGGAACCACGATCAACAGCCCAGTGACACTGGCACGGCTGGTGGTAGGTGCTGGTGGCACCACCTCAGTGTTTTGTTTGTGTAGTTACCAGCCCAGCAGGTTCCCCAACTCATTTCCCAGGCAGTAGCAAAGATGCCTCTGAGGGTAATAGCTTCCAATTATTCCCAGCTTGGGCAGGATTTGTACTGGTGACCTAGGGGTGAATGGCTTCATATCTCATTATTATTAAATTCCTGAGCCAGCCAGTCCTTGCTATCTGTCTTTTATTTTGAAATAGCTGACTACACTGCCTTTATTCAGAAGATGGATTTGCCTGGCTGTGCAGTTATTGTGTGGATTTTTCAAACTGCCTCTGAAGAAGGACATTGTCAAGTCTTTTCTCATAATTTTTAAAATCATGTTTTTATTCCCTGCTGTTTATAACAGCTCCCCTGGCAGACTGATGCTGAAATTGGTATCCTTATTGAGAATATCTCATCTACCACATTTGAGCATGCCTCTTTGCCATTGCAGGATGGCTTGCAGGCTCCAAGCTGTGTGAATCAGCCTGACATTGCAGGGTTGCTAGGAAGATGTTGCTGTGGATGCAGCCGGTGACTGGAGAGGGTTTCCCAAGGTTGGACTCTGGCTTAGTCCATGCATTATAGCACAGTTGCTTCAGAGAGATAGTTTGAAAGCAGCGTGTTGTCATCCCAGGGTGTCAAGGGATGTAAACAAGTTGAAGTCCAGAACATCTGACAAGATGAGATGGTCATGAGAATCAGAACGGTCTTCACAAACATTTAAGGAAATGAAGGAGCAATTCTGGTTTTGAGTTGCTGGGTTCTCAGTTGTGTTCTTCCCATCCTCCACATGCCAGGGTTGTTTAGTACCAGTTTGGGCTTTAACTGTACAGCCTAACAGGGGCTGAAAAGGATTCAAGGCAACTTGTTAGAGCTATCCCCAGATTCAGTCTGACGTGCACCAGTTCCTCCTCGGTGGTGGGGGACATTAGGTAGCTCTCCCCTTACCTACACAAAATATACCTGTCCCCTTTCCCCTATGCCTTGAATCTCTCCATGTGGACAGGAGAGGTGGTATCAGCAGGTGCAGGCTCCACTTATTGTGAAAAAAGGGATGCTAAGCATCAGAAAGCTGCACACAGAGGGAGGGGCTGAGCACACTGTTCCTGCACCTCCAGCAGGTCCATGGCATTGCACCCAGCAATGAGCAGAGAGGCCTCCAGGGGAGGTGCTTTTTGCACGTAGACCTGCTGCAAGGTTTTTACCCAAACCTTAGGACACTGCCTTATCTCCTCCTTCTGCCCCCAAACCACTAGTTACATGGTATAATTTTATTTTAATTCTGTGTCCTCTGGGAGAGCTTAACTAGAGATATTTAGGTGGATGTTAGTTACATGGTGCAGAGGGCAAAGCATCCATCCTTATCTCAGGCACCCAATTACTTTTACTCATTTAATATCTTCATAATGTTGATGCTACTCTTTTTCTTCCCCAAGAAAAGTCTCCTCCCCTATCACTGCTTTCTCCCCCTTTCCTGGGGCTACATGTAATATTTCAAGCTGCAGTGCATTTAGTTTTCCTCTCCTTCACACACAATCACTTCTACAAGGTGTTAGAACTGTAAGTTTGTAAATATCACACACAGAAAGATATTAAACCCCCTACAAAACTAAGGTTGTGCAGCCAAGCATTTAGAAACGAGGGAAACGGGAGCTGAAGTGGTAGAACAGGGGAAGAAGACCAGGATCAGCAGAAGAGCTGTCTCAGCAAAACCACTGACATGCCCCTCCGAGGAAGGTTTGGGGTGGGTTGTATTTGTGCCTCCACCACACAATTCCTATGTGGCATCTGGCAAGACCTTCAGCATCTGCAGGTTGCAGCCGTTGTCACACAGTGCCAGTTGTTCCAATACTGCCTGGGAAATCCTCTCACACAGCACCAGGGGCAGGTCTCTGCAAGACCCTCCTGTTTACTGGTGCCCTGCTGGGTTCAGTGTGGGTCTGGTACTTGCTGTCTGGAAAGGCAGGTCAGTAGCTCCATCCTCCACTTAAGTGGATCCTTTTAGCTCAGTTTCCCTGCTCCTCCAGCTGCCCTCTACAAAATGGGGATGAGACAACCCCAGCACCTCGCTGGGAGGCTGTGGAAGCGAGTGCTCTCACATGTAGGGAGCTCTCAGGCTCACAAGTGATCATCACAATGAAGCAGCCCATAGAGAAAAGAAAAGAAAAGAGAAGAAAAATACGTGTTTGGAGGACATGCCCTGGAGACCAGCCCCTCCAGCATCTCTAGTACTTGACTTTGTAACCTCAACACTTTGCCGAATATCGGTTTTGTGCGTCTCTCAGGATGCTTTTAGAAGCGAGCTGAATGAAACAGGAAACTTGTCCATGCCATCACATCAAATCTCAGCTTATCTGTGGGGTTGTAACCTTTAGATCTACTGAAAACCTGAGTCTGTTTCACTGAGTGAGTAACACAGCCAGTTTCTTTGGCCCTGGGAGGGAGTGCCTGAGAGCAGAGCAGGGGCAGCCTCTGGGCTGTGGACTGGGCTGCCCCAACCAGTCTGTCTGGGTGCTGCCCTGAGCTGCAGTGACCAGGGAGGTAGAGCTCAGCCTCAGTCAGGACCATAAGAGCTTCACAAGATGCAGCCCAATCTCAATTCAGTATGTAAAGCCTTTTTTTCTTTCCTCTTCTTGATTTTTTTTTCCCCTAAGAATTATAATGTGGCCCAAACTAGAGGGATTTTTTTCCCTGCCTCTCCCCCATCCCCAGGCTGGCAAGAAGCCAGATGTTGAGGCCCTGCTCCTGAAGCTGGATCTGTATGATCTTGCAGGATGAAAGGCACTCTGGAGATGTAAGCTCATAGTAGCAATTAACAGAAACAAGTTTAGATGCTGTTTCTGCCTATATGCAAATGAAACTCAGTAGAGACTTGAGAGACAGGATTGCATAAGGGATGGCTGACACTGATAGGCAGGTACCAGCCATATAATCAGGCAATTAATCATCTGGGTGGCTGTGCTAACCAGTCTCAGAGGTGAAAGGTGCAATCTTGCAGTTCACAGTCGGAGTGCAAGGGGACAAAAACAGGCTTGAACTGCCAATGATTAAAACAACTCCCAAGTAACTGGATGCCTCCAGCGTCCTGGCAAGAGTGCTGGAACCTTTCTCCCTGTAGAGCATCGGTTCAAATGCAGATCTTCTTCCAAGGAGTTAAGAGGCATCAATTAACTCCCAGGGATTAGACTCTGTGTGTCTGCCAACGGGTGCCACTTGAGATGAGAGCACATTTCTGCACCGAGTGGTCTCCTCTGCCCAGAGCCACAGAGATGGGGCAGAGCTCACATGAGGACCGTCATGAGGATACAAACAGAGCAGCACAAGCCAAGAGGAACTCACGTTGGCTCAAAATCACCACAAGAGGAGCAATCTATGGCTAGGCTCGCAGGAGCTGGGTGGAGTGGAGCCAGGTTGCTTTGCCCATCCTGCAGCAAACTGATCCCAGCAAATTAGTTAGTCACGCTTAGCTTTTAAGCGCTCGTTTCTGCTGAGGCCCTTCTTTGTTTCAGCTTCTGCGTGCTCCACAAAGAGATAAAATCTGGAAAGAGAAGGGCCCCGCTCCCTGATAGAGGGAAGGTGGGCTCCACACCACACTGCTGCAGCTGCACGGGAGCTTACAGCTTCCAGAGCAGCTTCTCCTCCCCATCTGTCTCCTGGCTGCGTCGGCAGGAAGAGAGGCTTTGGCACTGGTGAGAATAGACGACCTTCAAGCGAAACACTGAAACTTTGTGTGACTAAGTGGATTTACCACAATCTCCAGCATCAAATAAATCTCCACCCCTGGCCCCCAGCCCTCCCCTGCTTCCCTTTCCCACGCAGGCTCATCCAGCCTCGCTTCGCTGGCCAGCCCCTGCCCTACTCTCTACCGTTCACCCTTGGGTTTTACCTTCACTGCCACCAGCATTTTGTCGTTGGTGGGGCTGAGGTTGTAACACTCGGCCAAGAACACCTTCCCAAAGGCACCTTCTCCCAGCTCCCTCTTCAAAACGATGTCTCTCCTCTTAATATGCTGGACATCTGTTGGAAGGAGGGGAGGAAGAGGGAGAGGGTTGAGGGAAGAATGAATCAGGGTTAATTCAAGGAATGGAAAACAACTAATTCAATTTTCTAGCAAGCTGCAAAGGAGCTGAAAATGCTTTGCAAAAAATATCTACAGGGATCTTTTTACCCACCCACGGAATGCAGCCACCTCTGGGATGGAGCTAGTCTTATGCAAAACATCTGCGAGGAAAGTACTCGAGGTTTATCATGTTCTTACTACAAGCTTGTCCTCAGAGAGAGGAACCTTTGGGGCAAAATCTGCTACAGAGACTTGAATCTCCTTGGAAGGATCCTGGAAAGAGTTCACCTCTTGTGAGGCGTAGCAAAGGCCACATACTTCCAATGCCAGGTCAGGCAAGATAAGAAGGTCCTGTAGAGTTCTGCTTTTTAACTGGGATCAGTTTAAACCCAAACTCAGGAAGATTTTTGAGGCTGAACCTTGGCAAGTCAAAGCATTTCTAAGGAGAGGAGGATCACTGACCCCCATGCACCTTAGGGCATGAGTAGGAGTCGTTTGGAAGTGCCAAGCATTACCCCACAGCAAGACTCTGACCCTGCAGCCATCTCCTACGTGACCGTTCCCTCGGAAACAAGGTCATCCTGGGATAAAGTCACTGGCACAACAGACAAACCGAACCCATTAGTTTCAATGATCCTTTCCACTGACATTTAGGATGGCGAGGACTGACATAGAAGAGCAACTGAGGTTTCAGGAAGAATCAAAACAGCAGTAGCTATTCATTTAGCAAAGGTACAGAGGCCTATGAAGATTGGTCTGTTCAGCTAAAAGGGTCATTCATAAGGGCCAGATGTATGCAGGTACTATGCACCTACAAGGGTAGATAAGCAACTAGCAAGATACCCACAAACACTGTGTCATAATTAAATGCCACTGGCTGCTGGGAGAGCTTGGAGGTCTCCATGCTCTCTTTTGCAGACAACAATAGGGCACAGATACTCGCTGCCAAACCTCTAAGCACCTTTCTGGCATCACAGCACCCATACAGGTCCCCTGGCAATACAACGTGTCTGTTTTATTGCCTGGAAGCAGCTAGAGGTACACAGCCACCATAGCATTTTCTGGAGGCACAGCACCCAAAACTTCATCTCTCCAAACTGCCCTTCACTGGAGCTTACTGTCTCCCTTGAGAACTGTGGTAGCACAGACCACCCCCAGCTTCAATCTGATGGTCATGGCAGGGCAGGGAGAGCTATGCACTCTTTTCCTGTGCTTGGTGAGCAAGAGCTGATTCATTCAAGCTCTCCTCAAGCAGAGGCATTAGATGAGACAGTGCCCTCTTTCCACTCCTACCCTGGGGCGTTCATAGCTTGGCCCTACATCTGTTTACTCACAATCTAGGCTGCTTTTGAGTCTTTTCCATCTCTTCCATGTGCTACAGGAGCTGTACAGGTATGCACCCCTCAGCTCAGCTGCATTTCCCTCAGGGCACTGCAGATGCAGGAGGCAGAGGTGACTAACACCCACAACAACATAGGTGCCATTTAATGCATCAAAAAGCCAACGGATTGGAGGACTAACAGCCTAATGGCTTTCATACAATTCAGCTTTTTAATTAGGAGCTCACAGGCAGGCGTAAGGAGCTGGCATTTCTGGCCCTTTTGCTTGTTTGGGAAGATGGATGCTGCAAGATTGCATAAGCAATGGGCCTTGTAATGAACGATGCCTCTACAGAGAATTCCCATTGACCCTTTCATTAATTGTTCAATAGACTGAAAACTGTTAGTTACCAATATTAATAATATTGGTAACATTAAGGCACATCCAAAACTACTTTGGTTTCATATCTGCAGTGATAGTCAGGGAGAACAAATCACTTGTGGACTTTGCCTTCTCCACCTGGTTTACTTGAGTGTTTAAGGAGTACCTTGAGGAATCTGAACTATTATGTGTTGAAATGTTAAGTGATGCACTTAGGTGAGGAAAGTCCTAATCTAAGAAAAGCTCAAACGGCACCAATTTACTTAATAGAGCAGAGGAAAAGGGGGTTTCCTCTTCCTCTTGGCAAGCATTTCTACAGCACTCATCACTACAGTACCTAGGATTTACTGTATTGACAAACCACGTATTTGCATTCTTGGTCTTCTGAATAGGAGCAGTCAAGAAAGCTGTGGTGAAATAACCTTGTATTAAGAGGAGCCCAAGGACACTTAAAAACACCCCCCGAATCCCAACAGAAATGTACCAATGCAATCCCATCACCCCATTTGATGTGAGATAAAGTTAAAAAGGAAACTGTCTTAGAATAATCAGGAATGCTATTTGAGATTATTTACACTTCTGATGAGTAAGTGGTAATACCATGAAAAATGAAGCAAACTTCTCTTTCTGAACTCCTCAGGGTCTTGCCCAAAATTTTCAGCTCCCAATTTTTCCCTCCAACAACATCCTAAGGAATGATCAGACATTTCTGAGGGCCGGCATCCACATTGTGTAATTATGTCTACATTATTAAAATAATAACCCATCTATCTTCAAGATCAGATTTCACAAGTTGTTAGGGTCACCTGGGAAGCTTCATGTAAAATTTATATGAAGAAGTAAAGGAGATATCGTGGCAGACAGAGTTGACCTGAGGGAGGAGCAATCCTTTTGAGGTAGTGGACCCACACAGCAGTGATGAAATTAAAGTACACTTGGATGGTTATAAAAAAAGAGGGCTCATGAAGTTAAACAGTTTGACAGCAACTGGACAGTCCTAATGTTGAGTCAGAAAAGTACTTTTGCTGATAACAATTTCTCTCAGCCTCAAATAGCCATAAATTTTGCTTCATAGTATTCCAGGCTTAAATGGAATAATAAGTGTGTTATAATAAATTGCTTTTTCACATGCTATAGGCCTAAAGTACTGAAGTTTACGTCAAATTCTCCATTCACAGTGAGATCAGCACTATGATTAATTCTACATGACTATTAAATATGGGCTTTAAACATAAAGCAATGACAAACCACCCTGGCACTGTGCAAATTGCTGTGTTATTATGCTAACCTTGCATCTCTTTGCTTGTTTGTCCTGGCCGTAACTCATAAGGAAGGCCGAGTAGCCATGAAAGTTGCTGTGCTGCAAGGGCACCAGAGAGGTTCATCTGCATAAATCTGTTTACCTCCTCCTGGAGAAAGCTGAGCCCTGTCTGATAAACAGCTGGTATTTATTTGTTTTAGGCAGGCAGTGGTGTGCTAATCTGTCTCCACTGTGTTGCAGTCAGCCCTGCCAACAAGGCGTATGCAAACTGTCTTCCCGCAAGTGCCACTCTGGTTGTTTCCTTCCCCCCCTGCACCATTAACTTATAAAAACAAGCCAACAAGACAATTCAAAAGAAGAACCTATGCAGGAGCCCCAGCAAGACCTGACAGGAAAATAAGCAGGCTTGACAGCATGATGGGAACTCCTTCAAGGCCGTGCTGTGTCTACAGGAAGGATGCGAGCGCACAACACTGAAGTAATTTCAGTTTTAAATGAAACATCTTGCAGTCCTTGTTTGGGGTTTACTATGGTGCTGCATGACACAGAGGGACAAGTTGAGCAGATCCCCCACCATCCTTCTTGTCCATCAAGATTTAATGCACGGAGAATGGATTTCAAGCTCTTGCCTTTACCAGTGTGCTGAGTAACACAAGAACCACATCAGACAACACCTGACCTGAAGATGGTTTGAGATGACCCATGACTTCAGTTCAATGATGGCAGCATGTGGGCAAGCTAGAGCATTAACAAGAGGGCAAATCTGGGACACTGCACGCACCTTTCCAAACTGCCTGCAGAGTGGAGTGCTCTCCTTTTCTCTGGAAGAGCCCAGGCAGAAAGGTTGTGGCTTTGGATCTGTGATGAGATCTTACCTAATCTCCTCTGAACCTCTTGCAGGACGGCTGACTTGATCTGTGCTTAAAGTGCACTCAGTCAGAAAAGCAGCTGTCTAAAAACAGCAGCTTCTTCCTCTTTCTATTTGCTCCCATGTGTCCCTAAGTCATGCCTGTTCCTCTCCTCGATTCAAACATTTTCTAGTTTGCTAACCTTGTGAACCCAGCATAGCCATGGGATAGAGAAGAAGAAGAGGGAACACAATTAATTCTACATTTCTCCTGCATCAACCTACCATGTCCTGATAGGTCACTTCTGCACTGGCCCCTGGGATAGAGCATGGAAAAAACAGAACTTCTTCACTTAAATCTCTGATTCAGTGACTCTTCACCCATCCTTTACCCTCATATTGCAGAGTCTGTCTTGCTTGTGACAAGGTCGAGACAAAATGACACAGAGGCAACCTCCAAAATCCCAGGTAGAGCATCTACAGCTGGTAACTGCCTGTGTGCTATGAAAACACCCTTTTTCTAATAACCACCACATTTCAATCACATGAGCATAAATTGGGAAGTTACATAGGTGCATTCCATGAAGCTAGTTTTCCAATTATTGTCTCATTTCCAAATCGGTCCTGGGGGTCAGATGAAGAAAGGATGAGTTCAGTGACACTGCAAATTCTACATTTCAGATTTCCATCACAGCCAGCATCATGAAAACCGTGGCTTGATAATACCCTTGAAACCTGGATGCATATGATTTTGTTTGGACACAGATGACTACAGTGTGAGGCTGATGGACAAATCAAACTCCAGAGTAAGCCACGAGCAGTGTCAGTACTTAAGTTACAACAAAATGCAAAACTACTTCTTAAGGTGAATCATTTACACCAAGTCTGAAATGAATTCCTCATATCTCCTTCTTTCAAACTCCTGAACAGCATTTGTCTGGTTGCTCTATTTCTTGTGGGCTTCCTGTCCTTGGACTCTTAATTCATGAACAACATGTAGCTCACTGATGAAACAGAGTAAAATAATAAAAGTTTCTCCTATTACTTTTGCCATCCTCTTTTATTGGCAGCTTTCTCTTCTAGCCTAGAAAAGACCAATACCAGTCTTCTATCCATCCCTTCTCCTTCACATGTGGCCCTCTTTTCCC